CCCCCCCCCCCCCCCGGGTAAGATAATGAATCCATCACGAGAAGTAACATAACTTATGTACTATATCTTGAGTACTGTATCTTTGTTGAATGCTTCTTATTTCAGCCGTCTTTGTGTATAATTTCATTCAATACGAATTCTGAGGACAAATCTAAGATCGCTCTTTAACGTGTTTTGATTTAATCGTTCATTTTCAATCTTCCTTGAATAAGCATAATTTAGTATTTTCGAGCCTAAATTAATCATACCTCAATATTTACAGGTCACCATGGTAAATTCATAAACATAGGTAAATATTATTGCTATCTGCATATGTCTAGATTTGAATAACAATAAGTTCTTGCACACATGCAGTTACTTCTATTTTGGAGTATGATCATTATTATGTGAAAAAAAATCTTGTTTTTCCAAATTGCCAACCATTTTAGTATCACAAATACCTATCGCCCGTTCCCATAAAAATGATGATTACTGAGAAAATAAAACGCGTTTGAATTGAGTCAAACGATAAAGCCCCATGCAGCTTTCTTTATGACGTGAGAAATGTTTTCATCCAATCGCAAAGAAACCGCTCACTATTTTGCCTTGAGGCGTGATTATTTATTCTGCATATATAATAGAACCAATCATTTAGCTCAAGAGAGGGTGAATGTCAGAGTTGGTTAGGAATTTCTCTCTTGACAGGTAAAATGTTTTACAAGTATTTCTATATATGTGATCATAGGTACATAATTTCGAGATTTGTTAAACGTTATTTCTATTTTGAAGCATATCAGACTGTTTTGTTCTTGATTCTGAACTTTTTTTAAAAATGTTGAACTTTCGCTTTATTCAAAGGCGTAAAAAAAATAATAAAAAAAGGCGTACTCCAGGACATGAAGTCGCTCAAAGTATCGCTCAGAATCACTTTCAAATTGTAATATTTGCAAAAATCGTACAAATTTCTCAAAGTCACATCGACGTTATGATGCATATCGAATGATGAATATCATTGAATCGAGAAGCTGTTGTTATTCGTATTTATTCGTGTAAAAGCTGATTGGAGATGCTGTCAAATTCGGAGTTTTGCATCTTTTAATCGAAACCTTCTAATCTTTTTGTCTTTTATATTTTATTTCTCTTAATATAGCTATTTTTTTTCCTTCTGTCGATAAAAGTTGTATAACAATATCTGCTTGTTGTGCAGGTGTGCGAATAATAAAAGTTTTTTATCACTGCATTAGGTGTCCAATATGAAGCTTCTAGTGCTGCTTATTGGTTTTACCTCGGTGTTCATTGTGGATGGTGAGTACCATATGCCATACCGGCAATCTTTGTTAATCATCACGTGACTGGAGACACTCCCTTTTAGTAGTTCGGCTAGTCAAGAGTCTTACTGACTTTAGATTCTCTCGTGACAAATAGCCTGGAAATATTAACAAAGTTTTATCTTCCTTCAGGACTGCTTGATTTTAACACTAATAGGACTGTTGTTACTCCGTGTGGAAACGTGACCAACCACGAAGACAATTTTGGTCTGATGTCTTACAAGAAGATTCAAAAGAAACTTGTCATCCGCTGTGCACAAGGATTCACGTTCGCAAGTCAAGCAGCCATAAAGTGTAATGTCACTTCTAAGACTTGGATAGGTCTTGGAAAGCTTTCTTGCAAAAAAGGTTAGATTACTCAGTTGTCATAATGTTGCCATCTTTATCATAAGCCATGAAAGTTAATGGATAATTTTCGTTAGTACTTTGCGCTCAGAGTCCTACCCCAGGAGACCGATGTTATAGACCCTAGTGTAGTTAGAGAAAAAATCAGCGCCCAAAATAAGTAAGGAAGTTCTGCAGCGCTTTCTTATTATGGACGTCTTACATGATTTCAGCCATCCCTCTCTGACAAAATGTCGTCTATTTCACAGGTAACCTAAACAGCTGTCCATCAATTAGCGGAGTCGGCGCGTGCGTAGAGAGCTGTCAAAATGACTCATCTTGCAACGATAAAACCAAAAAATGCTGCTCCAATGGATGTGGACATACGTGTGTTACTAGTGTTGCCAAGGGTACGTTTGTCATGTGTATATTTCTTTGTATCATACTATTTTTTCTGTATATAACTCAATCACGTGAGCTATTTATTAAAAGCGTCTTTTAATAGTTTTGTGGATCCATTCTTAAGTATAATAGCCATTTATGTGTATGCTGTTTTTTTTATTCCAAATATCATCTTTTGCAGGGAGATGTGCAAGCAAAAACAAAAAGTAAGCTTTATCTTAAGCATAATTTATATCGATTGTTTGTTTATTTGTTTGTTTCCATGCTTCTGCACGTTTTCCACATGTTTCAGGAAAATCCATCTTGTATTTTGTCATTGTAAATATTTATTTCATTTTCTGTTATATGAACCTTTCGTTCACTTCTTATCTGTTTACGTAGCGAACAAAACAACTGTTCTTGTCTCGATAAAAGATTTGTCTGATGTTAAATATTTATTATTTCAGATATATGCAGGTCATGGAGTCATCTAAGTGCTCAAGTGATGATCAACTGTATTGGTGTGCAGGTTACTATGCAAATGTAACCGAAAACTGTTTAGGGCTATTGCTCAGAAGAATGAATGATCTCATCAATATTATGGTAAAATAATGAGAACCAATACATCATGATTTCATTATTTATTATATTCATTTTGAAATCCTAATAATTTAGTAATTGCGCGTTTGATTTTAGACCATTATATATTAGTTCTCAGCGGTTTCTGGTAAATTAAAATTTTTTGAAATATTTTGAGTAAAATCAGCTTATCAAAATCCTTCAAAGTAATCACCAATCAAAATCCTTAAAATTAGCTAATTTTTCAAATTCTTCTTTTGTACTGTTCAATAAAAATGCTGCCTTGCTACGTAATTGGATAAGAAACGTGTGATTTGATTTCAGAACAAAAAAGACATTGCTATTATGTTGAGATCTCCAGGGTTCAGTAAGAACTTAATGTCAAAGATGGATATTATGAACAGCAAGACTATTGATCTTATTGCCAGCTCCTTGTCTACAAACCAACTCAAGGACGTTCTCGACGACTTAAAGGTATTCACAATGATAAATCAATCCTGCGTAACGTGCTATACGTATATGGTATCGATCCGTCACGTAATATGTTTAGTATGCCTTGTGGATTAATAGTAATGTTACTTTACGTGAAGCGGATCACACGTATTATGTTACGTACATATGCGGATGCACATGATATGTTACGTAAGTCTTGTGGTTTGCAAATGTATTACGGATCCTCGTAATATGTTACGTAAGTCTTGTGGATCAGACGTATTATGTTACGTATGTCTTGTGTGTCAATTATTAAGTTTAACTGTATGAATGTTACATGCTCTTCGTTCATGTTTTCAGATTGAAGTTCTGTTGCGTATCCGCAACAAACTCGTACAAAGATCCATAATAAAAATGATAATGAAAATCTATGGTAAAGACGCTCGTGCATGGCCAGAAGAAGCGGTTAAGAACAAGGAAATAATCTTGTGTTGGCTTCATCCAAAAATGATCGCCGACCTCACGAAAAACGTTAAATGGAAAACCATCATAAGAAGGTATTGATCTGTTAAAGTGACTGACCGACCGAAATGACTGACCGACCGACCGACCGACCGACCGACCGTAATGATGATGATGATTGTAGTATTTCAGTGTACTAGTATTCATAAGTAATTTGCTCTTCCAGTGTTGTGAATCCTAAGATCATCTCGTGCATAGCAGGAAATGTTCAAGTAAGAAACAGGCTTGTCAAGGTATTCAATAATGACTGCAGCAAATGGACAGCCGATGATCTCTCTAAGTTAAATCAGTTTATCGTTATTGTAAGCCCTCGCTGTATTTCCAAGATACCAACACAACAGGTAAGCCTCATCATCGTTATGATGTTGCTGATGATCGACACGCAGTCTATCACCGGTACTACAGTAAAAACCCGCAAAAACCCGCGAATAAGAACCTAGGTTTTTTCAACTTAGGCTAAACAGACTCTTATATAAATGGTATTTAGGGTAAAATTAGGCTAACTGGACTTTTGTTCAAGAAGAAAAGTAAGAATTTTTAAATATGGTCTTTTATGTCTAATAACAGTATTCTTGGAGGCTTCGGTAAGCAAAATACTACACTACTGTTAAAATCAAAACCTATTCTGAAACCTTCACTATAATTCCTAATAAATCTTGTATACAAAACAAAATGACATGATAAAATTCCTCTTTAAAAATGTTCACTGACAGGTTTTATGTAACTATGCTGTAACTACTATAATTAAGGTGTACAGACTGTGTTATTCCCAAAAATTTATTTATATTTTTTTCTATATTTTGAAAAGATTATTTTTTATTTCCTTTTTTTTAAATAGAATTTTATCCTAAAATGGTTCTTATGTGAAGGGTGCTTAAAAATGAAATTTTWGCCTAACAGGTTCTTAAATGTTAGGTTCTTATACGCGGGATTTTACTGAATTTAAATATATATGACATATCATATTGCAAGAAACGTTGCACAGAACACATGTCTCTTAGAGGAGCTATTTGAATTATAATGTTTGCAGCTTGACATTGCAGCTTGACTATAACGTGAACTACGTTGTCGTATTCATTGTAAATATCATGAAGCACGATTTCTTGTTCATTGTATTGCTGTTGATATCAATAGATTTGCAGTGTAAGGGCAATGCTGGGTCAAAGCTCCATATTTGTACATCACATTCCGTTGGCAAGAAAGATTTTAGGAAAGATGACGAAGGAAGGCTGCTCAGGCAAAAAGTTTAAAGACTGGAGTGATTTGGAGAAACAAAGGTGGGTGTGTTGATAAGCCGATTCGACATTTTAAATAACTACAAAGTTATAATACAGTTAGAATTTATTTATAAACTACTTGCAAGACTGCCATTGACTACTCTAGTCACGTGACATTTACTATTTACATTTGACAATAACTCCTTCTCTACTTGTATCACGATTCTTGTTATTTCAACGTTGTTTCTTTCCTTTTTTCTTGGAGTTTTTATCTAGAAAGAGATTTTTATTTCAATGCAATTAAAGATTGCTTTGATCCGACATTCCTCACAATCCACCCCACCCCAACATTTTATAGCGGTCTATCATAAATTTGACTTCTATATAGTAGAGTAGCCAAACAGAATGCAATATGAGTTTATCTTTATACTAAAATCATGATAAGCGCTGTCTTTTGCTCTGTATTTATATGCGGTAAATGCTTGTATTTTGACAAGTGGTTCTTGTCGGTCATGGAGCGTGAAGCAGGTACTCAAAACTCACCTGTTCTCTCTAGACTCGCATCGTTGACTTTTCTTTCTAATCTTGCAAAAACGAGGGTTGGATTATGAAAACTGGGTAAAAACCAGCAGAGTTCTTCATCTCCTTTACATACAACACTATAGCAGTCAAACCTGGAAGTATAAGCAAGCGAAGTGTTCTCTCTGCGACAAGCAAGTTCCACACACTCCTTTAACGTGCCAACATGTCCGATTAAGTTAATTTGTACATTTTTGTGATGCATTCCATACATTAACGTTACATTTCGTTCAGGTTTTCCTACTTGAGAACATGTCTCTGACTTGATGTTCTTTGACGATACCAAATTACATGAAATTCCTGCAAAATCACGATTACTTTGATTAAAATTCGTGTATACAATGAGAAATTCTCTCCAAACAATAAAAGACAGTTTTCAAAACATTAAACACGACTCAACATAAGAGAAAAGAAATTAGATCAGAAAAAGATATATTTGGATTGAAACTGCTTTACCTAATGTAACGATGAAAACCATGAAGATAGCGGGTCGACTGAACTTCAAGTTATAAGAAACGACGTGTAGATGATCCATCAGTGATATTACTATAGAAAACTCTTTATCAACGATCAGCACGTGTTGCCCACTAGGTTTATGTTGCAGGCAAAAAAGTATTAAGTTGGTTTTTATCGTTCAGATTCTTTGATGATCAGATTGGTAGATACCAGTTGACAGTCTCACTGACCGGAACAACAGATGATGTAATTACGGGACAGAACGACTATAATAACATTATTGTTTACCATAAACAAGAACAAAATACAATAAACTTAGAAAGTAACTGTTAAAAACATGCTTCAATATTCTAAACAGTCAAATCAAAATAAAAAATAAATTGCAACAAAGAAAGTCTTCAATCGGGAGGATATTTAAGTAGAAAAATAACTGGTTATGATGTCAGGATTTAGAGGGTAAGGGAAAAAATAAGAATGGAAAAATAGGAAGGATAAAAGAAAGGGAGAGCAAAACTTTAAGTTCAGAGATAACGTCAAACAGCAAAGCAGGAAATAAAAAAAAACAATAAGGAAGGTAGAAATGATGGATGGAAGGAAAGGACTGCGAAATAAGTGGAGGAAACAAGCTGGATGGGAGTTATAAAGTGGGAAATGAAAAACAATTAAAGGGAAGAAATATTGACCGAATATAATAAATTAATCTATGCAAAACACTGTGTATTTTCTTCAGCTTGAACTATCTGCTTGTTGGTGCAAAGGAACAATTCATCGGTCAGCTATCGATAGCAAATAAAGAGATATACTTTCTAATGGCCGACTTGATATGTAGATATGTACCAAGAGGAGTCAAAATGGCTGTAAGTAAAAGTCACACCGTTACTGTAACGAAATACAATTGTCACGTAATGCAACTAGTAACGCGTTTTGTTTGCTTTGGTAGATGCTGAGAAAATTGAAAGAGGCGAAAAGTCCTGATAAGTGGACTGGTGATAACCTCAAATATTCCTGGCACTGTATGGACACGAAGACACTTGAACAAGCAAAGGATGGTTTTAAGGCACTACTAAAAGATTCAAGTATTTCGGAAGATGATTGTCAACAAGCAATGGCCTTGAGTAGCAATAATCTTGTAAGTCTCTGTTATTTTTCGTTGTTTTTGTTGTTGGTGCTTGTGTTATCGTAAGTGGTTCAGTGTTCATATTTGTCGTGTTCATTGGTGTTAAGTTGTTTTCAATAATTGTTGTTGTTACCGCTGTTGTTGTTGTTGCTATCAATTGCTTGAAGTGCCGTTCATAGCGTTCCTGTTGTCGTGATACTTACTGATTGATGTGTTTATTTGTTTGTTTGTTTTTTTTAGCTGAGGTTGGCCAGAAAGAAAGCTGAAGAAATTATTGGAGAGGTAACCGTCAACAAATAGCCCAGTCAATTTCTTGAACAGAATAAAAAAATAACATTTAATTAGAATCCTTAAGTACCTCAGTTCCTTGAGTAAAGAATATTTCAATAATTTGCATTTTTATTTACAGGCAAAAACATGGAACAGCAATGTGGGCTGCCGCCGGGCACTTCGTGATTACACTACCACACTAGCTGAAGCTTTTAATCGAGGTTCTGCTGGCCTCAAGGAATACGTGAATTTTCAAATAAAGCGATTAAAGCAAGCAGCTCGTAGAGCGAAACGACGCAGAAATCGAAGACGCTTCTTTTTGGCTGTAAGAAAACGTGTGTGATATACTATTTGTACTTCCATGGCTCAAATATTCCATATGACTGTAGCTTTGGTTGTTGTTGTTGTAATTGCTTTTGTTGTTGTTGCTGTTGCTGCTGCTGCTGCTGCTGCTGTGTTTTTGTTGTTGCTGTTATTGTTGTTGTTGTTGTTGCTGTTGTTGCAGTTGTTGTTATTGTTGTTGTTGTTGTTGCTGTTATTGTTATTGTTGTTGTTGCTGTTATTGTTGTTGTTGCTGTTATTGTTATTGTTGTTGTTGCTGTTATTGTTGTTGTTGCTGTTATTGTTATTGTTGTTGTTGCTGTTGTTGCTGTTGTCGTTGTTGTTGTTGTTATTGTTGTTGTTGTTGTTGTTGCTGTTTTTGTTGCTGTTTTTGTTGTTGTTGCTGTTATTGTTGTTGCTGTTGTTGTTGTCGTTGTTGTTGTTGTTGCTGTTTTTGTTGCTGTTGTTGTTGTTGTTGTTGTTGATGCTGCTGTTGCAGCTGCTGTTGTTGTTGTTGTTGCTGTTGTTGCTGCTGCTGCTGTTGTTGTTGTTGTTGAGGTGTTGCTATTCTTGATAATGGTCTTGTTCTTGTTCTTGAAGTAAGCAGTCTTGTAAACCTGGATCATTCATATTATGTTTTGTTTCTATAGTATGACTGCATACCATTTTGTACGTTTTTTTTTATTTCAGCTTTGGAAAGTTGGTGAAGCAAATTTTAACATATTTCTCTCAGAAATCAATCGTAATATGGTCAAAAATAACAACGGAATAAAACTTTTCATTGATCTGGGATTAAATGTTGATTCTGTTGATACTGAGAAGTTGAGAGAAGCACGATCCCAGCTGGAGATTGACGACAGTGTGGCCAGATTTGTGGTGTCCATTTACGTGAAACAAAAGCAAAGTCTCAACGAGGACGATCTGAAGTAAGACACGATGTCTAAATGAATAAGAGAATGGATGGAAGGATTAATGAGAGCGAGAGATTTATGAAAATAGTTTATGATTCATCAATTTTGTTTTCTGGATTCTTCTTATTCGTATTTTATTTATATGACTAGCCCAATTGTCAGGAATAAGTAATTTTGTTTTTAATTCAGTGCTATGGGTGACAATCTTTGCAAGGGCGTTACACAGAAACATATTAAAGACAACCTACAAGATTTGGGTTCTGTTAAAAAGATGTTGGGGTGTCCAGGCATTTCTGAACCAATGGTATGTCACCTGATTTATTGTCGAAGTTAGTTAGGGTTACCGTGGGAAGCAAGAACACGATTGTTTTTTTTTTCTTGCACAATTTCTATAATTAATTTATAGTTTAATTCATTAATATTTATAATTATTTTTTTATTCATTCCAGCGTGCAGCACTCCGTGAAAAATTTAACAAGCTGAAAGGTACTATTGATACTGAAACTATCTGTACATTTGGGCCTTCGACCGCCTTCCTTCCCGTGGAAACTTTGAAGAAACTTCCAGACGATGTAGGAGATGGATGTTCGTGGATTGAACAAGCTGGCCAAGCTGACCCAAGACAATTAGGCAGAGCAGCATTAGAGGCCTTGAAAACTCAGGCTTTAACTAAGGTATACCCCGTACTATGTATATGTTGTAGTGCTATTGACTAATGACTAGACCGCTAGGGACCCAAAACTAAATGACATTCTGTTTTAGATGCCAGACGAGATTAATCGTGAAAATATAGAGAAATTGGGGAGTCTTGTCATGGGTTTTAAAAAGGAAGACGTTTCAAGGGTAGCGAAAGACGCCATACCGGACGCTATGAAAGTGTTTAACAGATTTGGAGATGGCGATGGACAAGTTGTAAAAGAATTTCTCAAGAAATTGGGAAAACCTGAGTAAGAGAAATAAAGAATAGTGATAATATCGATGATTATTACAAAGATTGTTATCCTTTCTTGATTCGATGAACACTTTTTTTGCATTTAGTAAAGACTAACGCTTTCTGTTGTTGTAAATTCAGTGCGGACGCCATTCAAACTATTGGTAAACAGTTTGGAAAACTTTCTGAGGATGCAATCAAGGAAATTAACAAGGTGAATAAATGTCTTTGTATTTATACAATTGTTGCCTCATGATGAATAGTCTTCTTCACGGTTACCTGCGCCATCTTGAAAGGTAGCCRTGSCTTTGCATCGAAGCGAGACAACCGTTGAGCGTGCAATGATAGAAACCTGTGAATAATTGTCTGTAGGTGTGAAAGAAGGTTTCTATCATTGCACCCTCAACGGTTGTCTCGCTTCGATGCAAAGGCACGGCTACCTTTCAAGATGGCGCAGGTAACCGTGAAGGAGACTATTATAACTGCAGTAAAAAAATGACGGAAAGACTGCAACGATTGTAAAACCGAGAGGAACTTTATATAATCACCTGTCGGAGAAGGCTCTCTCCGATAACCGATAACCGATAACCGATATGTACATATATCTAGAGTCATTATCATGGTGCTTGTTGTTGGTGTAGTGACTGTTGTCGGTAATGATTTTTTTTTTGTATGTAATGATGTTTTTTTGTATTTTGATTTTGTTTGAAATGTGTTAACATTTAATTATGATTTTACAATTAGCAAACTTGTCTTTCAGGATGATTTTTGCGCAAATAGAGAAGACTTAGTCAAACACAACTACTCTCCTGAGATAAGAAAAGCAGTCAAAGAGAAATTTCAACAATGTACTTCTTCAAGAAAACGCCGAAATACAGGTACAACTTCGTTCTGTTTTGTCAACAACTTATACTAAAGTATATGTAAAAAACATTTCTATAAGAACAAATACCTTTACCTTTCCACAGCATTGTGCTGTTTAAACACAAAATGTAATCCACCATTTCAAAACTATTTTGTTTGTTTTAGATCCTTCGGCCATGACTTCTGAGCAAGTTCTCAGCCAGGGAACATTGCTTACAGCTGATGAAATAAAGAAGATCAAATTTTCTGTGTATGTTGAAATAGCCAAAGAAATTGGCGAGAGAGAATATGGACCAGATCAAAAAGACGTTTTAGAAGCTTGGGCTTCCGTGGCCAAAAACGGCGATGCATCCAAGATGGAGGCTTCCCTAATTGAGAATCTTGGTGCTGTATGTCGCGGCTTCAGCGCTGATGATATCGGAAAAATGAACTTTGCAAATGACGATGCCATCGGAGGATGCTCTCAAAAGGGACTTTCAAGAGACCAGGTAAATAGACTGTGTCATAAGAATATGGCCAGGTAATTGTACTGAATAGAACCAGGTAATAATGATAACCAGACGATGGATATGACCAGATAATAGTGATGACCAGGTAAACGAATTTGACCTGGTAATAGTACTGGATAGGACCAGATAATATAGCAATTGGACCAGGTAGCAGTTATAGAACCTGGAAAACAGATAAGAGCTGATACCAGATGATAGTAAACGTATCAGTAGATTTCTTTAATTACCATTTTGATATTAATTTTTCAGATTAACAAAGGACTGAAACGAATCAAGGAAATTAAAAAGAAGGAAATCTCTTCAATGAGTCGAGAAGACCTTACGGCTTTGGGATATTTTGCTATTGGCATGACAACCGGTGAAATTGGATCCATACCCAAGGCAGTTTACTCGTTAGTATTATATCAGTACTTTATAATCGCTGATGCCGTTAGAATACAGTTATCGTAGATGTTGTCGATGAATGTCGATATTTTTCGATACATCAATTTACGAGGCAATGTGGGCTTTGTCGAGGGTTTGACGTCAATTCTACGAAGTGATATTGATTGATGCAATTATAATCGATGTTAACTCGATGTTTGTGTTTGTAGCGATGTGTATGATGCATTCAACAAGCTAACTGGATGGGACGAAGCTCAGTTAGTGAAACTTAAGGAAAGGCTTGTTGAAATCAAAGGTCCAATCGCTAGTTGGGATGAGGCTGACTTCACAGAAGCGAATGCAGCTGTTGGTACGTTACTACACACAATTTAACAATTATCGAATAATTATCTAATCTAATGAACATTGGTCCTATATCTAAGGTTCATGTCATGTTAATAATATGTTTTCGCTGTCTATTCTAAGGCGGATTTACAGAATCCGAGATCAAGTCTCTATCAAAGGAATCCATACAAGCAATTCCTGTGGAGGGTATTAGTTCAATACCACCAAGCAAAATGAAGGTGAATAGACCACCCCTCCCCTCCTTGGAACATGCTCTCTCAGTGCGCATGCTCGTATGTTGTTTGGTGGCTGTGCCCACATGGTTGTGTTCCTGAGCATGTTTGTATATTATGGGAGCCAAAAATTACAGGCAAGGGTTACATAATGGGCCCTGGGAATCGTCAAGGTCAAGATTGTGTAGCGATTAACTGCTAATCCAAGCCTTTATCTTTCAGTATTTTAGTGACGAGCAGCTGAGCTTCCTGTCACCACAACAGTCCAGCGGTCTTACCGATGAGCAGAAAAGCCAAGTCCCTGATTATTGCAAAAAAATGAACATGAACTGTCCCAAACCATCCGACTCAGGTAACTGTGTTGCGTTGAAGCAGAGCGTAAAACCCGTGAAACAAAACAGGGCATTTTCGCGATTTTGAAAGCTTGAAATAGTCTGAAACCGGCAGATATTAAAGCAATTTTAAACCTAATCAAACATATTGTTTCGATATATAGCATAGACTTTCACAACAATGACTCTCACACGTTTAGCACAGATAATTGAATTTGGTTCTGCAAAAATGAAGTTCGACGTTTGATCCAGGCCTTTGTACATGGGTTTTTGAAAACCACTCTTATTGATTTACAATCATTATTAACGTCGTATTTATTTTTAATCTTTAAGGTGGTTGTCAAGTTGCCGTGGGAACTGTCACAATTTTGATGGTCGCCGTTGCTAGCCTGACATCACTGTTCTAGATTGAGTCACGCAATCTATATGCATGATTTAGCACTACACGTAGCCGGATTGTAACAGTGAAATTTCCGGCTACATGTTAATGGACAATATTCTACCAATGCACCCTTTTAATAAGTCCCTAGGTATTGAGTTCTCAGCACTTGACGTCAAATTTATTCTTTTGAAATTTTGCAATACAAAAGGAATTCAAAAGAATACATTTGACGTCAAGTGCGGAGAACACAATACCTCGCTAGATACGGGATATGAGTCCATGTCCTATCAATAGGGCAACAATTAAAAGCGTATTAAAAACTGAAGTAAAAAATGTTTGCCACTAGCCTTTAAGATTTTAATGAAAAACGCAGACGTTTCGGTCAGAACTCTAACCTTCCTCAGTGCGTTGTAATAAAAGAGCTAAGTTTGCACGCGTAAGTTAACGGGTTGAAAAAAATTAAATTACGGACGCGCGATTTTTACAAGAATTTATGATTGTTCTGTAAGCTACGGGTATCACAGTTTTGACATTTCCCGAGTTACAGTCGAGCTCAGAAAACCTCTCAAGCTTCTAAAAAATTCAGTTTTTAATATGACTCTTCCTAGCTGCAAAATTTTAAAATATTTAATTCAAAGCGTGTTTGCATCTAATGATTGATAATATCTTTAGCTGGTCTAATGGTTGATGATGCATTCAATAAAAACGATTTGCACAGTTGTTGTTCATTTTGCGATCAAGCTCACTAAACCCACGATACAGAATCTTTTTCACGGGTTTCTACGTCACTCTAGTATAATAAATTAAATAAGAACGAATCTATTGAAATCTGATCAATATGACCATCCCACTCTGTCAACTTAATTGCCCGGCTAATATAGATTTTTTGTAAAAATGGTGGGAACTAGCGGTCTAGACTTTTTGTAACATGACAAAGCAAGAAAACGCGGAACGTGGCCGGACTCTCCGGAGTCTATCGCACCGTTTGAGGTCCTTAATGACGTTCGTGTAGTATTCTAGAATGCCTGAGGGCCTGATATGATTGATATTGCTAACATTCCACAGATATGTTCGCGCTGACTGTGCTGAAGAACGCATTCGAATACTCGGTGGATTCCTTGGTTGACTCGGCTTTCTCATTAGTGCTCGTGTTTCGTGTTTGATTTTTTTCTTTAGATTGGACTATCCTATATTGGGTTTTTTGATTTTTTGGTCGGTATAATAGACCGATCGATCTGTTAAGGCCGAATTACAGCTTTTCCCTACAACCATTGCAGCATAAAACCTGCGTAAGTCATCCTTACAACATGGCTACAACTGTCGTATGGATGTAGCCATGTTTTGACTTACGCATGTTGCATGCGATGGTTATAGGTAAAAATGGGGTCGTCCAATTCGGTCTTGGGTCGATCAGTTTACACTTTCGACTCTAACCTCACTTAGTAACCAGGCCTTGATAAAAAAACATGCTTCACGTGACTAGACTACCCGTCATGCAACAATAGTCAAGTGATCAAAGTCCATTTTTCATCAATGTTGGACCGGAAGGCTTGTCCAGTCGAAATAACGATGCTTATTTCAACCAATGCCATTGTTTTTTTTTTCATTTTGTATAAAGTTGAGGGGCACCTGTCCGCACGTTTTTTTTTTTTTTTTTTTTTTGAAAATGCAGCGAAATCTAGTTACTATTCATATTTCATAATAATTCACGAAGAACTGTAAACAATGCGACACCAGGAGATGGGGGTGGGGGGTACAAACCTCATTACCTATACAGGGTCCGGTATAGTTTCGTGTCTTAAGTATGTCAACAGTTTAGACTTTCTATATAAGTGCTGTAACTATACATTTTTAGTGTACATATATAGGTTTCTGTTATCGATGGATTTGAGCACATCACTACTTACTGATGCGTATGCGTTCTGCTTCTTGACTATGATTGGTGACTCAGAAATTCAAATAATCCGAAAGTTTGCAATTGCATTGTCTCAACAAAAGTTTGTTTTTACTGAAATAATCTATATTCATGTGCAATACAGTAATTACATCACAGTAGAAGTATAATAGTGATTATAACCCTGTTAATTCCAGTTTTCGGAGTAGAATTTTTTTACGTGGCGCCAATATCATTCTTCGCATTAATGTATAAAGTGCGTCATCATAAGTTGTTATGTTTTTACTTGCAGCGATAGATTTTACTAAACCTAAAGCTGCAATTTTAACATCAAGTCAAGCTTGCAACTATTACTGCGAATTTGGTAAAAAAAAACGCAAAAAGATAAATTTATTTTTAGCAATGACCAACACATGTTGACAAAGTTTTCAAACTTGGAGAGAATAGCTCAGCATGAGACGCCCACATGGGCACGGCATCATTATGCTAATCTGTGTCCAAACCGTGTGAAATACCGTCAATCAACCTCACAACGCTTTGATAGGGAAGCTGTGCGCTCGTTTTGAACGTCTCGTCAAAAACCTTGCCAAGTTAGCTTTAATACATACCAACAAGATGAACAAGCTTTTTATCTGTGCTTTAGTAGCCGTGATGGTTGGCTTATGTGCCGCTCAGAACAACACCACAACTGGTAAATCATGATTTTATATTTTACAATGTTTTCTTTTTCAAACACCTTTGGTTGTTAAATCGATAGATATCACGAGACTACTCGATCATGTTTCAAGCCATTGTACAGTTGTTATAGTAATGTAGGAATTGAACAAAACCGAACCGCTTGAAAGCCGCACCATTGTTGCACAGAGTTCCCTCGAGGTTTCAGATTCGAAAGCGCGTTAAAGTTATGAAACTGTTGGCGCCAAAAAACAACTTTGACCATAACTATAAAGCTGTTGAAAGCGGCAATTCAGTAACATTACCTAGATACTACTTCAGGATTTGTTTATCGTTTTACACCTTCCACTAAATATAAACGAATTGAAGTTGTATTGCTAAACGCTTTCATTTTTCACCTTTCTTTCATAAAACCACTTTTTTACGTCATTAAATAGTCAAGGAAGAAATATATTTCGAAATTTCCTGAACAACGTGGATAATAAAGATCTAGATTAAAATAAAACCAAATTGAAACTCATCGTTCGCGTTGTTGATTTGCATCAGTGTTGCGGCTGTGTTTCGATATGATCTTTGTATGATACTGAATGAGTTTCGAACTCTTTAAAAACACGTTGCTGTTGAAAGCACCTAGAAGGATTTTTCTTGGAGTTCTTTTTGAAAGGTTTCTGTATTCCTTTGATATCAATAGACTTGATTTTGTCAAAGGCGGACAACACCCAAATTGAATGACCAACTGCGCATGTCATGCAGTTATTGTCTTGGTGCTTTGTATGTTAGTAAAATGTCCTTGTTTTTCTAAATACTGAGGTTTCTTACTTGAAAATCCTATTATCTGAATGTTATTTATATTTTGCGCTAAACTGATTGAGCAGTTAGGTTTCTATTTGATTGTTTTTGTATGATATGAGTCATCGTGAAATTAGCCTAACTAGAACTTGATGAATAATAGTCGAACACTAGCCTCGGGAATCAACACTGCTTGAAATACTTTGCAACTTCTTTCGAAAATTTATCGCTTTGTTCGTTCTAGTAACCTTGTGAGCATTTTACTGTAAACACGGGAAACTGCAGTCAATCAGGTTCAGTTTTCTTTTGGTATAGCGAAGTCTTTTGTTATAAATGAATATTATTAGCTCGTGGCAGTCAAAACAACAAGTTCTTGTTTTTCCGAAGAAATTTATTGCTTCAACCTTCAACGCAAGTAGTGATTGACAGGCCTATAGCACTGACCATGCGGAAACCGTTTTGCCATGAAACTATTGGATATCACGGAATGTATACCTAATTAGAAACACGTAGGCACATCATGCAAACCGAAAGGTAGCATGGGAAATGTAAATGTTGCGAGTAGTACTCAGTGTTTCAGTACCACGATTTTGTGTCTGCACTGAATAAACTCATGAGCTTCTCTACGAGTAATATTATAATGTAACATGTTTGGGCAAATACAATTCTAATTTTTGAAACTTATAATCCCTTTGGTAGCGTTTGAGTAATAATCCAGTTTCGAATTCTCCAATACTCTGTGTTAGCCTCATTTGTGCGCAAAATATTCCTAATTGTGAGAATAAAAGTGTGAGATTTTAAATCAATTCTATTGTCTTCAAATTCCATGCGTTTTCTTGAGCTATCAATGAAACAAAAGAATATGTTGCTTGGTTTTGAGGCTAACACAGAGCAAACCAGAACTCGAAATCGGAGTATTTGCAGGGCAACTCTCGGGGACATTTTAAAACGTAAAATCTACCTTTTTCGAGAAAAAAATACGCTCATGTTTTTGAATATATTTCACTTATTTTTTATGAATTTTTCTGAATTTATCGATCTCAAGATTTGTGGGGTTGACCGGTCTTGAATTTGTGTAACATGTAAAAATGAAGATGGCTGCTTTATAATAGAAGTTATGCACATCGTTGACACAAAGTACTCGATTTTGTGGTACCGTGATTGTTCTGATTAGACCTCTTTAATTCTGATGATTCGAAACCAATGAATTGATTATTGATAATTAATATATTGTCTATTTTATTCTTTTCTATAGCCGCTCCCCCAACGACAGCGATGTCAAATGATACTATGTCATCCAGTAAGTAAACTATACAGTCATTGGATAGTGAAATTCTGACTGCCAACATATGATAATTATGTCAAAAACACTCAGTTTGCTGGAGATAAAACCGTAATATAAATCTTCAAGTTGGCGGTTAGGAAAACACGGACTTCGAATCTCTCGGGGATCTTTTCAACACTCGAAGATAAAATCCTTGCTTTCTCGCGCCATGTAATAACCTCTCAATACATGCTCGCCAAGTAAGTGCAGTTAATTGCAAAAAACTGATGCGTTTACATAGCGCTTAGTTAGGCTCCTCCACAGACATCACTAAGAGTCACTGGCTTCCTGTCTTTTTCTGGGAGGAGGGAAACCGGAAGCGAACATTAGCGCGCGATGCYAACCTCGTCCATAGGGTGTCTTGGCTCTCTCTTTGTTTCAAAACGGTGTCTGCCATTTTGCGAGTAGGGAAGGACTTGTTGTCGAGTTTGGTGTGGTGCCTTATTTTTCCTTTCTCGTCACAAGTCCTTAGCGGTCAAACTGATTGTTACAAAGGAAGCCCGAAGGAGGAAAAATAGTTGCCTGTGGAGAACGTTTAGCATTGCTTTCCTATATTCATTTGAGGACATCAAGAACAACATAATCGTTACGAAAACGCTACGAAAATGCATCAGTGTGGACAGAAGTAGATGGATATGCACCGGAAAGACACTGTTCTTGTTCGATATTGAATTCATTTCCGAGTTTTTTCTTATTTACTTAGTCCATCCATGAATCTTTCGTTTAAGCTTAATTCTTTTTGCATGTTTTAATATGTTGCTTTTCTCTAAATTTCAGCGATGATGCCATCCGCTACAGGTTAGTTTAACTTGACACATACATGCCATAATTATCATTTTCCCTTCTGGTTATCGATCACGCTACCCGGGGTTATAAGAACACAGGGAAATTTTTTTCTAGAGCATTTTCTTTGACGGGGATAAGAATTGTTGTAATATTCTAGTAAAAAATACTCCATGTTGCAGAAGATGTAGATGACAATTTTTAACTGAGTTTCACAAGGTTAATCTAAAGATAGTTGGGCCAACAACGTTGTTTACGGACCCATCGTGTCAAGATTCAATTTTGTGCTGGGAATGTGTACCACCAAAAAGTTTACTTTTCAAAAACATAACCCCACTCCATCCCCCACAAAAAAATAATAATCAATAAACGATTAGTACCCCTTCCCTGTGTTTCACACAAATATGACCTTAATTTTTTTATTTTTTCAGAATAAACTATTCTAAGCTTTCTATGACAAATTGTCAATTGCATTTAGTTGTAACATATTCATAACGTCCTATATACATGTAAAAATATCAACGTTGAGGCTTTTTGAGCTTTTCAGTACATTCTATGATTGAATAAAACAGACATGTCTATTGGTTGCCCGGGGGGGGGGGGTACTCCCATATATTTGCTATACGGGGACGTGCCGCTGGCCAGGGTATGGTTTTTGGCCTTGCTGTCTTAAACAGGGTATACATTTCACCCGAAATTGTCTTAAACAGGCTCTACAATTTAGATAAAAGAGACCGATATAATTTTTTTGTGTGTCTTGGACAGGGTAATATTTTCATAACACCGTAGAAATACCGTTTCACTGTTCCAGAATTAACGTGTTATCAAAAACTTCTTATTGTCTTTGAATAATTGCAGTTTTGATGGTTGCTGCGTAGATAGCTATTCCTTATTTTTCCGATTTGTCTTGAACAGGGTATGGATTTTTACTTTTTAGTGTCTTAAACAGGGTCAGGGATTTAGACCGCTGGCGGCACGTACCTATCCAAAATGGGGTCGAGTGCCCCCCCCGGGATTGGTTGGTTTTTAAATCTGATTTTTGTTTGTCTAATTGTAATTTTTCTATGATATTTTTTTTAGGCTCAACGCAAATGCCAAGTACTACAGGTTAGTCTGGACAGAATTAAGATAACCACGTGGTACCACCTTATATCTATAGCGATTTATAAACGATAAAACTTTATCATATAATTATCTATAAAATACCTATATTTAATATCTCCATTACGTAAAGTTGTTACTTTCACTGGTGAAAATAACACATTCGTGGTATCTCTATATATCGGAGTTAAATAAAAGCTATTTTAAAACATAATTTGCGTTCATCGAGCACGCGCAGTTTCTCGGTGTTTCTATGTTGTTAATCATTCAATCGTATGTCTTCTATCATTCCTTATCACCCATTTATACAAATCATTACAACCAACATCCTGTCTACAAATCACCAACGTCATGTATCTTATAATCGCATCCGACAAAAGCCTAGTTTTCACTAGCAACGCAAGAACAAGCGCAAACGCAAGAGGCTGTATTTGGTAATGAAAAGCAATGACAATGCAAGCGCAACATAATATTAATTCCTACTTTCTTGTGCTTGCGCTTTATTTGCTAGTGAAAACGAAACGGTACAAGTGGAACATTTGCGCTGCCATGCTTCTGCGCATGTCCTTTTGTGACATAGATCTTTAACCTACTTCAGCTGTGCACACCATATACGATCAACATAAGAAGGCATTCTTAATCTTTACTTTGTGTCTTCTTTCAGGAGCTTCCAACCTGATCCAGGCGACTGCTTTGTTTGTGCCACTTGCCATTTTCCTGCAGGCGTTGTTTTAAGTTCTGCCACCTTCCGTTCGATAAATCCACAGTTTACCTGACCAAGTATAGAAGAGCATTAGCCGTTTCACTCCCTTCTGATGTCAAGACTAAGAATTGTATAATCCCGTTAATTAGTTCTTGTGTACAAACTCTAAAATCGTGTCGCAAATGATATCAAATTGTGCTAGATTATTATACTAGTTCTTGCGTTTTATTAAGCTAGAGCACGAATTGATATTGTTTCTACATGGACTTAGTGTATGCTTTCTATTGTTATARCCATTTTTTATTAAAACATCACAAATACTTCACATAAACGATCGCATGATAGCACGCTTGTCAATAATATCGTTGAGTAATGACTACTGTTTGAATATGACGCCTAAAATAATGGTAGCTATAATCCTTAAATAACACTAGAGCATTAATTCTTTACGATTTACGTTGTCGACATCATGTGGTCAGTTCTATGACACATGCAAAGTATCGGCATAGATGCCAAATGGATGATATCAAGATCAGCAAAATGTACGATATCAGAAATCAAGAATCAATGTATTGTCGCTGTTTTTTATATGTCTAGTTTTTCGCTGCACATTATAGCTTATAAACTTTTTTATTTTTGATCTTTTTACACAAAGTGGCGAAGCTTTTAATTTACTCAAAATAAAAATGTGCACAAAACCAAAGTCTCTGAGTATTTTATATTTTATTCAGTTAAACACTAATAGGGGATAGTAAATTCTGAGACCAACACAGAGGCGGCGTTGCCGGGGGGGGGTGTATGTGTTGTTTTTTTTTTGGGGGGGGGGCACATAACGGCATCGGGTACTACGCTCGAAACATTAAATAGTTCATATTTTTGTAATAGCAAAATGCATTTGCAAAAGTTGATGTGACGTCATCACTATAAGTCTATGAATTCTGCCCACAAAGTCAATTGTGGTTCCGCTGCCCCTGCAATCCTGCAACAGTGCGCTCAGTTTTGCCATGGTATAGACGATCTGTCAATAACTTCAATGGACAGCAAATGCGGAGTTTAAAAATGCATCGCGGTCTTGGAATGCCTTTACATCGAAGTGAGACAACCGTTGAGTGTGCAATGATCCCGGGAGGGGAGGGGGACTCCGGGGCAATGATAGATACCTGTGGATAATTGTCTGTAGCTGTGAACCGTGAAGAAGACTATTCAATATCGTTTATGAGCGGGAAAATGACTTTTTTCCGAAAAAAAAAATATTACAAAAGAATAAAATATTCAAAATATTGCGAGGACACAGTTTCCACAGAATACATTGGTTAAAGAAATACATTCAAAACTCCAGTTTCGCGATCTCGTTTACAATGTGTGTAAAATATGCAGAAATCAAGATAAAACTCGTGAGATTATTATTAAACTATTTTCATTGTATTCTCTATTGAAAGATCTCTTGCTTTTTCTCGGGCAGATACTGAATAAAAGAATATATTGCATATTTTTTAGGCTAACACAGTGTAAAAGAGATCGTTAAAAATGGTTTATTGCCTCACTAATGTCAGCAAATGACAAAAAAAGGTAGGTAGAGAGAATAAGCCTTAACCAGTCTCGACAAAAACGCGCATGACTGGGCACTAGTAAGATAATCTTAGCGGTTATGCAAATGAAGCGTGGGTGAATATCACACCCTGAACGCTGATTGGTTGAGAGCATTTCATGCTATGAACCCTCAAATCGCTCAATGTCGAAACAGCTGTCAGGCCGTGAAAGCTGGTTTGTTTTCCTGTCGAAAAATCGACAAAATACTACCACTTTTGTCACTACAATAACTCCAATAGTTAAACTGTTGTCTAAACATGATATTCTCGCAGGATTTACGATACAAAGTCGTTCAAGTTCACTCCACGGTATGCCATTGTTGGCATTATGGTAATGGTGGTTTAGATTAGACCATATTATTCAATATGCCCGCCGACGGGTCATACTCAAAATAGTGATGTTTAAATACGTGCTCAATAGATGGCTTAATTCGGTGTTGTATTTACCTTCAGGTATGTATTTTATTCATAATATACAGCAATTTCGATACAATTTTGTTTTTTAATGGTAAACAGCACGAAAATTTTTCTGCCAAAAATTTTGTGAATTTTTGATGAGTTAGCGCTTGTCTTGAATACGTGATGACAAGCATTGTGCTGTCTGTCAAACTACCCACTCCCCATAAAACTTTTTAAAAAACTCTCGCATACTTTTTAACGTTTCGATATTCAATATCTGAAAATTTTAATGTAACAAAAGAGCTTGATATATTTGCTTATTCCTATTTAGCGACATTACGTCACTTCGCTTCAAATATATGGCCCTCGCGTGGGGTCCCCAGTGTCACAGATTAGTCTTGATTAAGGTAGCTCCCCAACATTTATCTATCATATTAGAAATCAATACCAAACTTTATCTCTTTTAGATTAATATTAAATTTCGTGACATTTCCAATAGTGTTTTTATGGGAAGCCGTGGACTTTTCAAATGAAAAATATCGTTGCTATAGTAACGTTAATATTTTGACTTTTTTTCAGCTTGAACTTAAGCGGAGAACTGGTTGTCAAAAATGGCTGTCACTGGAAGGTATTTATATGCTATGAAATGATGCAGAAAAAAAAACTAGCATTCTCGAAATTTTTATGGAAAAAAATTACATTTATAATTATTTAGGATCAGAAAAAGGATTGATATTTATTTTGCTTTTGCCGTTTATCACTACAATCCRTCGATAAGCAATAACTCTCATCTGTGGTCACTGACACGTAGAAATCCAACATTATCACATGTTTTATAAACCTCTTTTCAACCAATCAATGCAGCGAAAATCGAAACCAATCTGTGACGTCAAATCCCAGGGGTCGCGATGAACGACGGGATTGAGGGATTCTAGTAGATTTGTGATTATCGTCGTGAGAGGGTTTTGCCTGCTATCTGGCTGTCTTCATTTACTGCATACGCTCTCATTTTAAAAGCTTTTCAACTAATTTTTGTGTCACGACATTGCCTATGACTACTGTCGCGACTAAAGGTAAAGAATTTGTGWTTTTGACTAAAAGCGAAGGTGTATGCAGTGTGTTTATAAGGGATGTTGACTCGAATAGCCTTACTTCACATTGTTATTTGTAAGCCAAATCAGTGAAAAGCTATGTGCATTGAAAGATTTTCTCGTCAATTTTCTTTTATTTTGTTTTTAGGAGATTCATTGAAGCATTCCGCAAGGTCTACAATGGAGGTAAGCTTGGTTTCACTCGCCATTCACGTACGAGTCAATCCACCGCTCAAGATCGTCATGTCTTTCACTGAAATCGCGTTGATTTTACTAAACTACATCCTTTTAAACGCTCATTAAGCTTTCTTTTCGTGTTTTTCYTTTAGTATTATCCAGAACCGAAGAAGAAGCGAACTTTAGAAGATTTTAACACGTTTTGTAGCTTGATTTTGGCTTACGAAGCTCGTCAAGAGGTAAGCCGTCTTGTGTAAATTTACATAAAAACTTTTACATTTGAATTTAACAGCCAACCCTAAATCCACGAGAATTAAACGGCTAAATTCACTATCCATGTACTGTAGTATTTTCACTGTTGTTCTTGTGGTCTAAAGACATTTTTCGGTCACAGAGCTATTTCGCAGAGCATCTCAACCCACCTTTCAAAGATGTCCATGAAGCTAATCTGTGCTTGTCTTCGTTTCTCCCTCAGGAACTTAAACGTAAATCGAAGTCATCAAATTCTGAGGATAGTGTGTCTTCAAGCACCGATTCTGCTTATAGTGAAATCGCCTCTTCGCCTGCCAGTAGTCGTGGAGATAGAGAGGAACGACTCTTAGACGACGTTGACGAAGAGTATGATTCTGGTAAGAGRAAAGCTTGCACGAACTTGCTATTCTATTTTAAAATGTATCCACGTGTTCTATGATCAAGTATTCTCGAAGATATATATAAGTTTTCTTTCTATTTTGTTGTAGATGATGAAGCATGGGATGTGACCACATGTTATTGCAGTAAACCCTTCGCAGGTAAGCCGTTGATATGACGTCTTTTTATTTCAAAACAATAGAAAAATTGTTGATCATAAACTTGAACCAACAACTTAGTTCATTCTTCATGTTTGTGCTTGATTTTCATCGTTTAAGTTCGTTTTTGTATTGAACTGTGGATTTTCTCGTCAACATCTCCCCATGTCACACTCTCTTTGACGTATGAATTCTTTCCACTTTTTCGCCGAACTCGTCATGAATTTCAACCTCGCTAGATAACAGTAGCATTTATCTTCGTTTTGCCGATTCCTACGATGTAAACACTTTGCTCACCTGCGAATTTGGTATTGTGAAAATACGAAATCGGGATTCTAGAAGTCTTCATCAAATCCATCAATGTTGAATAATTCACTYGACTAAAAAACTGCTGCCGATTTGTTCCATATTTTGATATTTTATTATTTAGATTTCTATCTGTGCTGGTTTGATTATAATGGCAATTTTTTCATTCAAGCGGTCTGAAACATTATATTATTATAGTGACATGTCTTAAAGCCCATCTGTACTGTTGTACTCCCTACAAGCCTTTGTGTTGTTACCTACTTGTTCAATACTTTCACGAAATCGAAGCTTTGATCGTGTGTATATTCGTTGATTTCATATTTAATAAATTTCAATCAAAACGGCGAGTTTGTCGTTTCTGTTGATATCGAAAGAACCAAAGTTGTGAGGTTACTTCTCTGAGTTACAGTGTTACGTGGGAATCATTTACTTGAGTTCTTATTCACACTATCCTTAAAGAATTCTGATCAACCATTCGATTAGAATATTTAAGCATCTTTGTTGTAATAATGGTTATCTTGTACTTTTGCAGGTCGACCCATGATCGAGTGTTCGGAATGTCTAACATGGATTCATCTTTCATGTGCCAAAATTCGCCGATCAAACGTCCCAGACACGTTCGTTTGCCAAAAGTGTAAAGATGCGAAACACACAATACGAAGATCTAATCGCGTTCGAACTACGCACTCAAAAGGCCGACAAGGAACCGAATTATAGCGTATCACTTTGAATAATGTAAGAGACAATAATTCGTTGTAAATTTTTGTATGAAAGTTGATTTCTTTAGTTTGTTCATAGCGAGTGGTCATAGCTCCTAGTAATAGTTAGAAAGGTTGTAATCGAACTGGAAATAGAATCATTGATCGATTCGAACGTTTGATCAAGTTAGCCTCTTAAAACAATGTTGGTAGTATAGTTCTTTGAATTTGTGCGAATAGTGTACTCACTATCGCTGTACATAAGAGATTTTAATTCAGAATATTATATTTTATTAAGGAACTGTAAAAAACACTTCTAATATGAAGTTCATCATACCAACGTTTGGTCCTTCGGATTAGGGCTTGCCGTTCACGTTTGTATAAAACAATAAAATACAGTAAACATGTGTTAAAAGTGTGTTATTAYCTTATCCTGCTACCTTGATGCACACTTCAGTGACCATCAAGTAAGCGAAATAATTGTATTAACTATTACTCTTGATTGGACATAATCCAAATGATGGCTCTTCTTATTCTAAMTGAAAGATACTGATAGATATTGCAAAAAAGACGAATATTGTGACTAAAGACCTTTGAAATACTAATGTATTTAAACAAAGATTATTGTACTTTACACTGGTAGTCTAAATGAAAGCTTAGCAACCACTGGTCATGTCTAGCTGACTGTCAATTTGCTACTGATGAAGAAAAACAAATATCAATGGATAAAATTATGTCTGTTGTTTCTACTTTGAATGCTGCAAATTGGATCTTGTTCACACTTGCTGYCTATAATACCGCACAGATACTCTCAGCAYAGATATTGGATATTGAARCAGTAAACAAAATCAAGGTAAAGGAATATKTGACAGAGGTATTTTTGCATTCAGATAGCTTTACCATAACACTTATCTGGCAAGTGCATGTTTCCATAACATTTGATTTGGCAAACATCAGACAAATGTAAACAGCGAAACATTGAACAATTTATTTTAAAAATATTTTTGAATACAATATCATTAAAGAACAATATATTTCTTAATATAGTGCTGAATGAAATTTATCTTTGTCAAGTTCTGTCTTMAGACAATTTCCTAGTATTATTCCATGATAGCAATAACATCAATCTTAAAAATATTATGAATTGCTGTCATTGCAAACAAGGCTTCTTACAGTAATATAATTTCATTCTAATAAGGTAATACTTTATCATCTATGCAGTGGTGACAAATCTTTCTTGTGAAAATACACCCACTATTGAATTTTGAAAACATGTTTCTAATTCATGCACAAAACCATTATCTATCATGATTTGAAGAAGTCATTTTCAGAGAATTCTTAACAGATGATAATGTTTTTGATAGTTTGTATTTTATTGATGTATTCTACCAACCAAACATGTACTCCATGGCCTTGGARATTATTGTGTCACTTTTCTGAGGTGTTCTCCCATCTTGTGGAACAACCTGTAGAGAAAGAAGAGAATATGGTGAAAACATCCTTGTAATTGTTGACATGGTAGAAAATGTATAGCTTGCATTAAACCTTGGATCAAAAACATGATGCAAGCTAGATAATGTATTAGGTATAAAGGATGAAGCCATAATATCAATAGTTTTGAAGATTATACAAAAAAACAATGGTTAAGTTTGTCTCTTAGTTTGCATAAATTCACATGACTTGTGCTCTATGAGTGTGCCACTGAACACACTTGAACCTCTATTAAGCGGCCACCTTCAGTAAAGAACAGGTGACCGTTTAATAGAGGTTGACCTTTTAATAGAGGTCATGTTTAACAGCAAATGTACATGAGAATCAACTTATGAGGAACYCATGAGTGACCGCTTAATGGAAGGTGACCAAAGTTCGACAGTTTAATCAATACCTGATTATTACTACTGGCTGCTTGATAAGCTGCTGTCAAAGGTCTAATTGGTGGACGTGATGGTGTCGCAATAACTGTCTTCATASATATGTCGGCCATAGTGTGTTCATTTTCCTTGCCCTCCATGATGGTCTTTTCAATACATGGAATGACAGCAATCATCATGTTACCACCATACACTTTGCCATGCTTACTCAAAGCCTAAAGAACACAATCATAACATCAAATGTTAGGCAAAGGTGCTTAGCCATGTGGAATCGACTCAGAAATCATACAAGAACATGAACAATGAGTATATTACAAACACTTCAAGTCAAGATCACATGAAATGGGCATCTAGCGCAGTCATTTTAGTAATGTTTAAATATAGTTATCACTCCATGTTTGTGTCACTGTGTGCAACTTAACCTTAATCATGGTTTGTTTATAAGAACCTACTCCTCAAGTACAGAAAACCTTTACCTTTTTAGCTTGTAATTTTGATTGATACTGTATATGCATCCAATTTTTGTTTGTCATAACCTGCCAAGACAAAATTTTAATGTTATAAGTATTATATTACACATTTTGCCCTCTTGTTGAGGATCTAATAATCTATCATACTCCTACCTCGTGTTTCATAATGTTACCATATTGCGCAAACTGTTCGAGTATGTATGATGAGGCAGCTGGTGGAAATCTGGAAAAAAGATCATATTCAAGACATAAAACATTGTAATTTATAAATTAACATAACTTGTTTTGTTTTACTAACCCAAAAACAGTCACCCAACATTCACTAAGTACATCTTCACTTGATAATGTCTCCCTGTAAAAAACAGAATGAGTTTGGTTGTAAAGCAACTCAAAAYGCTACAGTGAGAATTACAGAATAAATAATTACAATTCAACAATTATAAATCATATGAGTCAAACATCTATTATAACCACAAACCATCAAGAATTTGAAGTAAAAATTATTTATTCTAAAATTGTCCTAAAAATGTGACTTTCATCCTACCCTTGTGTGTAAAAAGGATCCACCTGAGCAGGGGAGGGAGGGGAATGATCTTGTGATTCAACAGCCATTGATGTTCTAAATGGTGTCCCTGGGGTACCGTGATGAGGAGTCTGTGTAAGGGAGCCTCTGTTACCAGGTGAGAACACACTTGAATTTAGCTGAAATAGAAGAATTAGTTAACCCTAAACTATGAATATGAAAATKCTATGTTGAATAATGATATTTTAAATAAGGTAAACCTGTTTTCTTTCAGATAACGGAGATGGCATTGCATATCTGGAATCATAGAGACCTTCRACAGGAGGAGCACCAAATGAATCCTTTGGTGTTCGACTTATTGTTGGAGTTCCTCTGCAACAATAAATATCTTGTTTATATAAGAAATATAATGCATATTTTGAAAGGKTTATAAAAAATACATTCACTTATGGCATTCAGACTTTCTCCTGTATTATATACTCTACCTTACTGATGTATGCTGAAGTTTTGGGTTTGCAGCAAACTGTTGTTGTTGGGGTGTTCTGATTGGTGAACCAAATGACCCTCTTRCTGGTGAGCTGTACTGATTTCTGGGGGAGGCACTCTTCTGGGACGTGGACCAATTTCTGCCCATCGGCTGAGACTTSAGAAAAAAAAACAGGATTAAATAGATGAATGTTTTAGATCTGTTATTAGAGTAKAAATCGACACTAGACTCTGTTTCGGTTCATAAGAGTCACTATAAGTTTATTATTGTACATTGCAACCTCAACAGAAAAACCACTTGCATGTGACTACCACAGCATTTACATAATGATGAATAATCAGTTTCAGTGATATTACAGAATGTTGTATACAGAATTAGAAATCACAAATAGAAAAGGACAAATGAAAAAGACTGAAATGGTGTGGGGGAACGTGAGCTTCAAAAATCATTTCATTGCAACATATTTCGAATATGAGTACCAATTTATTTATTATTACATTTAACAAAGCAATCAAAGTGTTCATACTGCAATCAAAACCTATACTTACTACTGGCATCGATGACTGAGTATTCCCGCCAAGTAGATAGCCAGGTAGATAGCTTGCGCTAGTSGGACTCATGTTCTGATCACTGTAACCTAAAAAATAACAAAAAATACTACAACTTAACAGGACAGAACCCTAGAAGAGTATACCATGAATTGATAGAGCAAATATTACCAAGATCCATATCATTTATCAACTGGAAAATCTAAGAGAAAGAACGTAATGTCCACTTTTTACTCAACATGAATTTAAACCAAAAAATCAACCAATCAAATTCGAGTAACTATCGMGTTAACTCCATATTAGGAATTTGTACAGCGGTAGCAAAATGAGTGTACTTCATCGCCATCTTGAATTTCACGTGTGTKCAAAGTTAAAGACTCSATATCTTTACTTTAAAAACAATTTGTGTTAATTCATACGGTTAAGTAGATGAAGTAATATTTTACAAGATGTCTTTTACAAATCGTGCATCACAAAGTTTCATGACGCATGCTAGACTATGGTATATGATCGATGCYAAGGACCAAGTTTGTGGACGACTAGCTGGATACATTGGACAAGTCCTTCAAGGCAAAACCAAGCCGATATATAACCATTCTATTGATGTAGGAGACTATGTAGTAGTAGTGAACACTAAACAAATTGTACTGTCRGGYAGAAAATGGCAAAACAAGTTATATCGACATCACACAGGGTACCCAGGTGGTCTGAAAGAAATCAGAGCCAAGGACTTACATAATAAGGATGCTACCAGAATCCTCTGGAGAGCAGTTTATGGAATGCTACCCAAGAACAATYTAAGACCAATATGGATGAAGAGATTGTATTTGTTTGAAGATGAAAATCACCCATATGCTGAGAACATTTTTGCAAAGTTAGAATCCCCAGCTTCAATTTCTAAAAGGCTTAATGAATACAGCATTGATGAGATAGCAAACTACCCAAAACTGCTTTAAAAACTCACATCATACTGACATTGCAAAGGTTGCTCATTGTTTGCATCAATGCCGAGACAGTAGAAATAGCCTCGAAACAATGATTTGTAAAAATAACTAAAATTYAACCAATTCAGTTTGATAAAATTATTTAAAAGGCCAATCACACCGTATGATTTTTGCATGCGAATTGTAGTATATGACTCAAATTAGCTCCAAAATCCTAGAGATGTCACAGAAAAGTCGTATGCAACAACCATAACATGTAAATCTGCCTTTAGTGTTAAGTTAGTCTTCAAGTTTTCAGTGTAGAACACAKGTCCTGTGAATATTTTTCTTGGTTGCCATTGTTGAAACAGGTTTTTTTGTTAATGACACAGTCTGATTTTAGAAGTGCCAGGGTCCAGTGCTAAAGCGTTCCTCATCATTGTTGGACCCAGGCCCCTAAAGAAATCAGACTGGTTGACTACAATGGATAAGTTTTATTACTAGAGATGTGAAAAARATAAATCAAGAAATTGCTTTATTATCATTGAATACATATGAGGAGCATTAAATTTTGTTCTTTGTAGAAACCCCTGAATCATTTGATATCAAAACATCAATATTTTACACAGTCCTAAAAGCTCAGCATTTTACGAGCTTTAAATTTTTGATTTTAGTAATTCAGAAAGGACAATGAGAGTGAATCTAAGGCTTACTGTTCTTAGTRTTAAGGTCAAGTCACACTTCTAGTACAGTGTGTAACATTAAAGCATCAAGTCTAAATATGAAGCAGCTGCCCAAATAAACTGTGCTGCAAGTTTGTTTAATGACTTCAGCAAGCAATGYTATTTTAATAAGTATTGCAACAACTGGCTGCGCCTCATACTAATAGATATTTTATATAAATCCTTTTATTTGCAATGTTAAATTCCTTGAATAATATGGAGTGTTTTCCAATTTAAAATATTACTAATGAGGATGCAGTTGAGCAACAACTTGAAAGTGGTCTGTTCAGACTAATTTTGCAAAGTATGACAGGTCTCAGCATATTTAGATTCAGAGCACTTGTCAAAGCCCTTTACTTTGGCTCTTCAAAAGATCCTGTGGCCAAATCGGTCATCTTAGGAAACTTTGCCTTCTTTTTCTCCAGTTCGTCCTGTGACCACAGCAAAAGCTTCAAGATATTTGATAGCTTTGGCTGTGTTTTTCTATACTCTGCCTCTAATATGGCTGCATTCAGTTCACTTGCAACCTTCTGTCTTTGTGATGGGTGAAGTAGGTCACCAAAAGGTGAGTCTTCGGGGTTTTCAAAAGCAAGCAGAGCCATTGTCTCTTCCAGTTCCTCAAGGAAGTTACTGGACTCTTGCCCCTGTTCAGCCAGCTGATTTTGGGCAAATTCAACAGCTGATACAATGTCCTTTTCACGAATGAGCTCAATTAGACGTTGCTGTTGCAAATGAAAGTACAGCAACTGATTGGTATCCAAGATCTCCGGGTTTAGTTGATTGGTTAGGGATACTGCTTCTTCCAAATCTCCTCTCTGAATCGCTTCTCTGATTTTAATCCTGTTGTCCAAACTATCCAGAGGGATAGATGGCTGTGTTCCTGATTCAATCCTGAATTTCTCTGCGGCTTCTTTATAGCCTTCAGTAACAAGATAGTCCATAATCAACCTGTTCATTTCAGCTCTAGGAAAACGAATTTTGCTTAATTTTTCCATCCATTCTTCACGATTCAAATCTTCAGCTTTATCAGGAAAGCTCATTCTCACAATGAAAGAAGAAAACAAGGATGCCAGCTTTCAATCTGTCTTTAAAAATTACACAAGCGAGAAAAGTRAAAGGACTTTTTTATCGAAGATGTGACGACCTTCTTCACAAACAACAACAGATCCAAAATGGCGGATGATGTAAGCTAATGCGCACACTCTTTAGTGGTTACCGCTGCCGTGAGACCGCTGGCGCAAGGTCAAGTCGAGGCTTCCTCCCGCGTTCKTTCTTTCTCTCCATCTTTCTTCGAGGCTGGTGAGTGTTCAATAAAATCTGTTAAATCTAAGAGGTTTTTGTGGTCATCGCAGTCCATACATACTGAAGAACATTTTTCTAGATATTGTTAGTTATGTAGGAGAAATATTAAGGCAAATAATATATTTTTTGCCATGTTATCGCCGCTATAAGTTGCATCAGTGTTGTGGTACTTCGTAAACTTGTTTTAATTGTGCTTTTTTATTACAAGTATTGACATAAGAAGGAAGAATTAAAAAAAAAAAAAACAGTCCTGGGTTTTCTACTTCTGTCCTGTTAAATTCTTTGCTTCAGACTCTAAAATAAAAATACATTTATAGTATTGCAACACTCTTTTATTGCATTCATGTTGGATTGTTTCTTGTGAAATGTCTGGGTTTACGCCATTCTTCAGGTTTATGAAGCTTCAGCTGTCTACCACTGTTTGTTTTCTGCAGTATGTTTACCTTTAACCTATTAGTTGATGTAAAACCAAGCAACCAATAGAACTTGATGGCTTGGTCGTCAGTGTTGACAATTTTGTAATTTGATGTGTTGCATTCTTAGATCATGGGAGCCTACAAGTACCTTGAAGAACTCCACAAGAAGAAGCAGTCTGATCTGCTAAGGTTCTTGTTAAGAATCAGGTGTTGGCAATACCGTCAGCTTAGTGCCATCCACCGTGCCTCAAGACCCACACGACCAGACAAAGCTCGTCGTCTCGGATATAAAGCTAAGCAGGGTTATGTTGTCTACCGTGTCCGTGTTCGTCGTGGTGGACGTAAGAGGCCAGTTCCCAAGGGAGCAACATATGGTAAACCAACTAATATGGGTGTCAATCAGCTGAAGTTCCAAAGGAGCTTGCGATCAGTTGCAGAGGTACAGTATTCTGAAATTCTATAAATTTAGTGTATTCATTCTAATTCTTATATTAAAACCATGACAAATGAAGTGWTAACCTATGCCTGCAATTGTTATAAAATAATAAACTACATGTATACACCATAGAATAATAGAACTTTGTCAGTCACTTTCATTTAGGCCTTTCTGAGATATCAGTTTGCATTGCATTGTGGTCTACRCTCAGTACAAACATTGTTTKTTCATGCTGCCAAATATYGCATTGTTTGTACTGAAACTAGACCACAATGCACTATGATTTTGTATTTMAGAAAAGGTGTATGAGGTCGMTAAGTAAGTTTAATGGTAGTTATCTCATGATATGTTTATGGTGTTAATGTTGGCATGTTTTCAGGAGCGTGCAGGTCGTTATTGCAGTGGCCTGAGAGTACTTAACTCATACTGGGTTGGACAGGACTCTGTTTACAAGTATTTTGAGGTTATCATGGTTGATCCCTTCCATAAAGCTGTCCGTCGTGATCCCCGCATCAACTGGATCTGCCGTCCAGTCCACAAGCACCGWGAATTGCGTGGTTTGACTGCAGCAGGTCGCAAGAACCGTGGTATGCGCAAGGGTCATGGTTATAACAAGGTTATCGGCAGCTCTAGAAGAGCTAATTGGAAGAAACACAATTCATTGCAACTCAGACGATATCGTTGATACCAAAAATAAAACATATTTGCTTCATCTCTGTTGTCAGTTTATTTTACAGTGTACTTTTGTTGTGGCTGACCCTCTTTTGAGGAAACTAAAGATGGGATTGCTGTCTCAAGAGAAAGGAATCCTCATCTCACATTGAAATAATAGTCAATATGATACATGAAATTCCTTATGAAGTAAAAAACATTTTGCGTGTTGATAACTTAATCTACCCTTTGTACAACTGGGACCATATGGTAAAAACAAGTCGTTGTGTGTAAATCCACAATTTGGCTCCCTGTGCCATCTAGGTAAATGCCTCGCTAGTATGCTATTATAGAAAACTTTTACTAATTTTCAAAGGTTTCCACCATTACAAGCCTGCTGGTTTGCTTTCATGCAAAGGTCCAAGTTCCCTTTTAATGATGCCATCTGGGAACTGACGTTGACAAGCAAGGCCTCGGGCAGAAAAGCACCATTTAATTTTGTTTCTCCAATATTTCTTGAATGATTTTAAAAAATAACTTGAAGCACACAGCTAAAGTAAAAGTATATTTTATTACTGAAAGAGGATATAAAATGATTCTGAGTGTATAAGTGATGTGCAGTTGACACTGTAAAGGCTGCTGAAAAGATTTGCTTGAAGTGTAAGGATTACGTAGTTCCTGGAGTATGCTTGATTTAAGTTTATCGGATAGYCATAAGTAATAAAATAGACACTTACAAATAATGTCTTGAATATGTAATTGGTATTCACTGTAGAATGGCTGTAGTATTATGGGTTGGATACAAASAACTCTGTGATGTCTTTTCGCATGTAAAGAATAATGAACAACTACTCTGTAATGCTACAAGAGCACAAAAACAAGCCTTTTCAGTGAATACTCTTATTGTGTCTAGCCTTGAGAGATCTAGAGTAATTTACCTAACAAAAACAATAAACAGAATTCTTTTCAGGTTTCTAATAAATAAACCTACATATGATTATTAAATAATACTTCAAAAATGCAASACACTCTCCATTGCAAAGTGATGAACAAAAAACTGCAAAACAAAAGCTGCTATTTTGAAAGCTATTTAAAACCTGCTATTTGTGAGCTACTTTATATTTTAAATATCAATTTGATGGCATTATTAGACGTACAAAGTTAAAATTATTTTTTTGCATTAAGATTTTTAAGAATATAGAATTTTGATTAATATTAAATAACATTTTAAATTTAAAATATATATATAATGTGTAAATTTACGAGAAGTAGAGTGTTTGCAACGAAACAAATATGGTCCTCAATTCTCATTGTGAGCTTCTCCATTTTAATTTTTATACCCTTATAATATGGCATTATATAACTGTGCATGTTTGTTGCAAACACTCTACAAGGGTGACTGTTCATTGTATTCCTTAAGAGTGTAGAGTCACACTCCATGGCATTGTCATTATGTGACTGTCGTGTTACCCCTCCATACTATCAAACTATTCGACTACTATATTGTAGTGCCTATCATCTTCAGCAACTAAGGAAACCATTGGAGAAAAAGTTGGCATATCYTCTAGATAGGGATAGTTTGCAATGAAGTCAGGTTTTGTGACTTGGGATGGACGGAAAACCTGTATTACCACACCCAAAGAATATCCGAGGAGACACATTTCAACCTGAAATAGAATACATTATTATGAATGACATTATCTCTACTTCACTTCTGTAATCACCATCATCACCATCATAATCCATCATTGATACTATGTATAACCCTCACCTGTTCAAGACCACCAGTGTCTCCAACACCATTCAAATGATGCTGTAACAATCCACATGGGTCAGGTGATGTATCCCTGGCAAACAGTAACCAGGCAAGGACTGGAACGTCTGATCCTTTGTTCATATCATTGTACAACAATACAGCATGATAAAGCATTATTAACTTCACAGCTTCCAGGAGTTTGAACTCATTGTTTCCTGTTYCTTCATTAAATAGAGACAACAAGTGATCAGTTTTTGCCTCCTTGGAGTTTATATCTTGGCATCGTTTGACCTGAAAAGAAATGTAAAGAAAGATTTGTTGGAAATAGTTGTCCTTCATCAAAGTTAACATTGTCATTTTAAAACTAAACAYACAATCATGGCATTCATATTGGTTTCCATATTTGGAATGCCCTTGTTTCCCTGAACACCCTCTTAAACTTCCTGCCGCATACTGGGTATTAACTATTTTACCTCATGAATGAAAAATGCTAGAATTTCTTCAAGTGTTGAAATGACATCAGGCTTCTCAACTGAGATTCTACCAGCAAAACTCCATTCTTGAAGACTAATTTTTGTAGAAGACAAAATTGTGCGTAGAACCTTCAAGAGATATTGTTATACAGTCATGCAGTTATCAAACAACTGTGTCATCATCATTATCTTTATTATCATAAACCATCAATCAAAAAGCTAACCTGTGGTATCCCTTCCTTTGGGAGCTTCTTTAATACAGGGATCCCATTTAGAAGTGCTTGAAACAAAGTTCCTCTGATAGCACAGTAGTTATCACCTCTTATTTGACGTAACTGATGACAGCTCACATGACTTGAGATAGCTGCATAGCCCTGAATAGGATATAATAGTTAGTCCTGTTCAATCAATGACTGGAAAATTACCAAAAGGGTGTTTGTGCCAATTATTGTTACTCTATTCAGTGTGGTACTAGGTGAGATGTTGTGTTAAATTATTGTCCATGCTGTTTCATATCATAGTTACTTTTCTATCAAAAACATATGCCTCACCTCTCTAATAGCCTTTGCAGTTGGCGTTTCACTACTCCATTCCTTGGCAGCATAAGMCTCAATACCAAATGGTTCACTTACTGAYAGCAGTGGTTTGTACACCATATCTTCACTACCAACAAGTCTCACTTGAAATATTTCATCATCACTCTCATAATCACCATCATAACTACCATTCTCAGGACTACTCTGCTGAYCACATGATGAGCCGCCACCCTTCATATCTGTACTGTTTCTACAACTACTATCTTCTTCTGTACTGGTATAACCAGTATCATTATAGCTTATCGCATCACCAGATGAGTTAAGTTTAGTATCACTGTCATACATGCGCAAATGGTAATTACGGTGTGCATCATATTTCCAGTTTTGACCGCATGTTTCACAATTTTCTTCCTCGTCACATAAAGAYCCTAAACTGTACCATGACTTGGGGGGAATGAATGAAGTTTTATCCTTAATTGATGCTTCATTGTCTAACATTTCAAGTTCTTCAGGAAGCTTGCGATCAAGACTCCTGACAAGAGCACTTTTTTTTAACTTTTTTGGATGTTTRATGTGTTTTCTGTTTTTGTGAYTGGAGTGACAACAGCATTGTATAGTCTGTTCTGTATCTTTGATTGTGCTATCAGAACTACACAATGGTGACATTTTACAGTCAGAGTTTGCACCAACTTTGATTTCGCCTGAATACTCAGTTTGAACAAAGACATTTGAAGCACATTTCTGAGACGAATTTATTTTCTTATCAGAATAGTTTCTTGAATTGTTGTTATTGCTCGTCCTTTTTGAGATGYCACTCTGTTTACTGTGTCCAGAAGGATCCATRTTCAGTTCATTGTCATATTGTGAGTCACTGTGACTGCTGTTACTCCATGTTGGACTTGTTGGTGGTTTCACTTCATAAACACATGGCAATTGGCATTTATGGGACCACAAATGCATTGTGAAATCATCTTTTCTCATTCTCATTGGATTTTTAGGTTTTCTCACTTCCATTTTAGGTTGTTTATCAGAATTAATTCTATTGTTGTTGTCAAGCTTTTTGACCTCGATTTCTGTGTTTACACCCTTATCCAYTGTATACGTCTTAGTTAATGTGGTAACGCTGTCACTGACTTTGTCTGTAATGTTTTCTGTACTTTCCTCTGATGAYAGAATTAAACTTGGCAATGTTGAATCATCAGTGGTACTTGTATCTAATACAAAAGGTGCTGTGTAGTCCTTTGGACTAAATCGGTTTAACCTTGAAGATTTAACAAGAGAATAGTGTCCACTAGATGGTTTTGAGTCTGTTCTGTTTATAAATGTAATTACTTGACTYAAAAATCTAGGATTGGGTTGCTTTTCAAGTGAAGGTGGAGAGTAAGTCAATTGTCTGTTTGGTTTTACAGGGTTTAAAGTTGTTCTTGTAAAGGTTTTGCTTGTTGAGGACAAAGGAGACCATTTATTACCATGTAACCAGTGGTTTAATGGAGACTGGAAATAAACAAAAAAAAAGGTATGATCAGTATGGTAAGGAAAATACAGAAAATACAGGTGACATTTATGGAAACATACTAGAGCTACTTTAAACTTCAGTAATCTTTTATTATTCAAGGTGTTAAGACCAGTTGATTCATGTGTAAATTTATTTCATATTGGTCAGATTGGTGCATTCAAAACAATTATTATTTTACATTTAGAATTTACTAACTGCATTGATCAGGAGTTCAAAACATCAACTGTATTTTATTATTACCTTTTTGAACTGAAATAATAGTGGATGATAGTGTTTATTTATTGAACCAGGTGAGAGTGTACAATTTGTATATCAAGAACACTCCAAAATATCAATTTTCGAATTCAATAGTATATTTTGAAAGCAATAAGATTTTCTGTTAGGTAAACACTGCAAGGAAATTTTCATATTTTTCCACTTAACAAAATCTTTCYAATGACTGACAAATAACATATTGCCATGGTAATGTTCAAGAAATATAGAGAGCATTCACATACTTTGAATACTAATTCACCTGTCATTAAGTAAAAATATTTGACATTTTCCTCAGAAATTATAATATAAGTAAATTTGGGAACACATAGCACTCTATTTTCTGCTATCTTGAAGCACTGATTATGCAATTTCTCTAGTTTTTACTTCTCTCAAAATAGAGGATTTACTTCTCTCATAATAGAGGAATACTAATGACACATCTGGCAACACTGTAGAATGATATCCTTGAACAGGCTAGAGAATTATTTATAATTATACTGTTTTTTGAATGAGCCAAGGTATTAATTTTGTGTACATGCTCCATTGAACTGCTCCACTTGGATACACATAATTATCTTACCTAAATAATAGCTAAACTTTCTCGTGACTTCCAGATCACAGTACTAGAGCAATATAATTCCAGAAAAACATTCCTAACATAAATAGAATTGTGTTGTAGAGAGTTGATTATGGATAAAMAAATCAGTATAATACACTTTTTTGAAAGGTCTTATAGTCAGTGATGACATATTGTTCTTTTAGTAATATATTATTGATGATACTGTGWGCTTGAGTTTGGTAGCCTATTAGTGAATTCTACCTACAAAAGATGAGACATTAGCCTCTCCAAAACGTAAATAATTATCTTTTTGTTTGAATAGCAAATCTGACAAGGCGTTGTTAGAAAAGTGAATTTGGACAATAGCTCAGAAGAACAAAAAGCTGCTTGTAAAAAAATATAGAATGTTTTATATTCAATAGAGCTTGGTGAAGTGTGAGTGCGTTCAAACCACCCACAAAAACAATATAATCTCTTGTTAATCCACAATAAAATTAAACAAAAGACTTAGGAATATCACTTTGATGTAACTTGGCCCAAAAATGACTTTACAGGTGGCRATATACAATGAAAACTACTGAAAGAAATGTCAGTTTTGAAACGAACTACACAAAGCGTGCTTGGTTGTTGTGGATCAAGTTGGTGTCGTTTGTCAATGAAGTTCAGTAGTTTCGTGCGGCTTACTTGTCTAGATATAAAAACATGTCCACAYAAAAACCWCAAAAACTAATAATATTCTAGTATWTCTAAAATAGATTATCACACGTCATTATTTAGGTGTAAGTACTGTACTAAGATAGATACCCGACTGATTTTATTGATGTAGAACATGCTGAGCATAAAAGTCAAATTCACTTCGTTTAATTGAAGCGTTAACTTTGGGTAATCTTTATTCATAACGTCTCCTAGTTTATAACTTTATTTGAACGCAATGAAACATGATCTTGTAGTGAGAAWCACCATCATTGTTATCAAAATAGCACTAAAAATATCCGTGTTGTCCGTCACTCAATAGATACGACGTCTCCGCTTGATTTCGCTTTCGTTATTTGCATCATCTTCTAGCTTTTTCCGGCTCCCGTTACTAAAATCCTAACAACTCGAGGTTTACTTACTAATAATGTTGGAGAGCCATCTTTCGGCGTGGGAGAGATTTTGCTTGAAGTAGTGATGAATGGACGTTGCAGTTGTCGTCGCTTTGCTTGGAATTTCTTTCGCCAAAAACCGATTCTTGTCGTCACCAAATACACAATATAAACACACAATCCTA